ATCGGGAAGCACGTAATGTTTACAACCACGCTGTTTACAAATTATAGCACGTGGTCGGAGTACTCATCTGTGTTTATACACTCATCAACAACTTACATGCTATCATCATCATCATCATCTTCAAGATCAGTGTACTCACGTAGTTGGCGTGAGTCATAGGATAGACGAATCTTCACTTTGAGCCGCAACGACTCGATAAGCTGCTCAAACTGGGGTCGTTTAGTGATCAACACGACGCTGTCGTCCAGCTTGACGAATATAGTGCCGTCCCTGACCCACGTTCCGGCAAGTCGCTTCTTCGCCACGAGTGTTCGTGCCTCAGATGCGAGACGCGATCGCTCCTTCGTAAGGTCATCATTAATGAAAACCTTTGGTTTTCTGCCTTTGAGTTTAGTAATGTTTTTCATCAACTCACGTTTTTCCTATGAGATATGAACCTGACTATGATAGGACGACTTCTATTGCCGGTATACTTTGTCTGATCCCCAGTCCTGTGACTCCTGTCTATGTCGTCCACACTCAGCTCCACACCCATGTCGTCTGCCAGTTTACAGACGATTTCATCTGTGTTCTCTCCCCGATCTGCTACGGTCTCTTTGTTTCTTACTGAAGCCTGGGCCCACTTGCACAGAGCAATATTAGTGCTACAATTATTGTAAATCCTTAAGATCGCGATCTTAGGCTTCGGCTACAATTGCCATCCACTTGCACAAAGCGATTGTAGGCTAAGATCATTGTAAGTTACTATCGAAACTTGTAAGTTGCTAAGATCATTGTAGTCTGTGACACGTTCACGTTAGTGTCTATTTCACGCAAATAATCAGCTTTACGTTTGGAGATTGCTTTTATATTGCATAAAACTGTGTGGTTCGCCTCGACATTTCAACAACACGGATAATACACAGCCGAGCTTGGATACATAGTTATTTGCTGTAGTGAACACGGAACTATCAAGTCCATATCACAAAGTACTATTCCCACCCGATTCAATGTTGGGTAAGTGTGAAACAACATACCTTTTAGATAATCAAGGAAAGGATACCACCGAATGGTGTCCGCGTGCGATTAACAATGGCCGTGACCTTTTCATTAACTCAAGAGCAGATCATTTTAGTCTATACGCAAGATGGGAGTGGTTTCCCTGGCATATGCCGTTGCCGTAGTCTGTCATGCCCAATCTCAGAGCTCTTGAAACATATATTTCTTTTCGGTCAAGGAGTAATTTTGTCTTAGTTTATCATGAAAGTAACCTACAATTAGATTTAAGGTAACGTGAAAATGAAGTTTCTTTCTCATCCATAAATCTGAAATTAAATTATGTTTCAAAAGAATTTCACTTTTAGAAACGTATTTATCAACGCAATAGGGTTATATCATTAATATACTGTGAATAGGTATTTAACAACTTCTATCTCGAAATATTATTTAATATTCGTATTTCCCTATCATGCATTCTTTACAACACTTCTGAAGCAATCTCACATTTTCTTTTTGTAAGAAAACTATACTTCTAGGATATATTTTGGATTTTACCCTACCGCCCCTAAAATCCCCCGGACAATAACCATTGGCAAATCATACAACTAGGTGTTATATCATAAGGAAATATTGATTATATTTGATGTTTTAATTTTCATAATTATTAACCACTAAATCTTGACCAAATGTATTTTTTCGTAGTTCAGTATTTTCACAAAACGTCATGGGTAGGTACATGTATTTCTGTGGTTGCAATATCACATTCTCAGTTCATAAATCAAGACAGTTAAAATGTAGAAAAATTTATGCTATCGTCCACGTAATCGTTTCCTTCAAAGATTTCTAGGAATTTTTCATGAAAATTCTTCAAGGTGCGATTGAGGGAGGTATGTATTGTGTGCAGGGACCAGTATCACTTTATATTTGCGGAGCATGCTATGCGCACTTGCAGACAACTGTACGCAGGAGTCGAGTTTAAGAAATTCGTACCTCCACCGTTGAAGAGTTCGATCTTAGCTAAGATCGCGATCTTAACTCCATGCCGTCTTACAATCGCTCTAAGATCGGCTTTGTGCAAGCAGATTGGGGCAATTGTATGTTGATTGTAAAGTTGATTGTAGGGGCCTAAGATTGATTGTAACTAAGATTTCTTCTGTGCAAGTTGGCCCTGGTGTTCTTTGATAATAATGGTCTGGAGGTTTCACCAATGTAGGATTCGCTGCAGTCGCATTCTATCTGGTAGACGACACCTGCGGGATCTGGCTTCTTTGCCGGGGTGGGTCTGCCTGTGGCCTGCAGGAGGTTCTGTATGGTGTTGCCGCTTTGGAAGATGACATCAGTGTTGGCTTGCTGCTTAATGAGTCGTCGGATGTGATGTCTAGAATGCCAATCAAAGGAGAAAACTTGAGTGGAAGAAGTCATCTGCCACCACAAAGTGAACGCTGATCAGTGCCTCCCGTACGGATGTTCGTGAAGTAAGTGGAGCGCCAACTCAACCTCAAGGAGTTTAGTCGGAGCATCACATAATTTAACACTTATGCATATGGATTACAGATAGATGCTGTGTGTAGATACTGAACATTATGTGTGCGGGTTATGCACAAATTAACGAGGGGTCCAATTGATTTACCTTGTTGTATGCTGACGTTGTGGACTGATGGTGGTGAAGAGGCATATGTGTATGTAGAAGCGGGGCGGTGGATTAGCCTTGTGTTTAAAGTGTCCGTTTGTCACGCTGAAGACCGGGATTCGATTCCAGATAATGTGTGAGGCCCATTTCTGGTGTCTCCCGTCGTGAGAGTGCTGGAATATTGCTAAAGGCGGTGTAAAACTATACTCACTTTATGTAGAAGTATAAATATACAACGTCAGTGAAAAGGAATCCCCGTTCCATTCCATCCTCAGGAACAAATTTCTCCTCCTGAGAGGGCACGTAAGTCCCCAAACTTTTAAAGTAAATTTAAAACTTACAAGGACTTTAAGCGTAGAATTTTCGTGATTTTTTAATTTTGGCTACATTTGACTACAATTGCCAGCGGCTGAAGGGATGATGTAAATCCAGCTTGGGTCCATGTAGGCAGCAAAGATATTATACGTCCTCATAGTCCCTAGTATGGTGATCAACCTTCAGTTGTTGGTGGGTATAGCCCGGTTTCTATACTGTATTGTTGTCTGTAGTGATTTATTATTTTAATTATGATAGCGTACTAGTTTTAAAATAAGAGCTGTGGTAGCCTAGTATTTTTACTGCCCTTCGATGACAGTTTTTTACGTTCTAAATTTATTGATTTTGATATTGATTTAAATTGGTCTCGTCACGATATGGCTGCCGATGTGACGCTAAATATTAACTCACTCACTCAGAAATAATTCCGTTTGGTGTAAAAGGAGGGAATTAGCTATGAAAACTATATGAATGGATCACTGAAAATCAGTGATGACACCAGGTGTTCGCGACAAGCGTAAACATGTCTTGTCCTACCCATTTACACAATTTGACTTAAAAGGGAATTTGTGTATGCCTGACGCTTCACAGCATAGCTCCTACCATGTGACGCCGGCCATTAAACAAAACAGACAAGTGATCGTTGACGGGAAGAATCTATAGCTAGTCGGGTGTAAACGAATAAATTAAACAAATAATTAGAGAATACTAACAAATAAATTTTACATACGAAAACTGAACAAAACGAAAATATCCAATAGATATTATTTGGTACAGATTCTTGTCATAACTACACAAAGTAACATGAGTGGTCATTGGATTCACAGTGTTATGTCTGCTTGATAGTGGTTCTTACAATAGTTAAAAGTTAATATGTTTAGACTTGACCAAGAGTAATCTGGAAGCGTCCGGAACACCACAAATTAATGTAGCTCAGTAAAGACTTTTCTGAAAGTTTTTTCAAGTAGATACAGGGGAATGAAGAAATGTCCAGTCGTTTCTTCAGGAATCGCAATTTCGATATATCACAAAATTATTTGTCGCAGTGTTTTATCATTTTACTCTGATATTGTCTGAAAGGAACAAATGGAGGCGTGTGTTAGCAAACCTTTTACGGAATAAGTATATCTCAAAAAGTCTTAACTAGTCAAATTGGCAAATATGATAACTTTGGCATCGCATTACGTGTGGCTGAGGACGATGTCCAGAACGTTGGCTTGATAAAGACATTTTGGATGATGATGCTTTGGCTTTAATTGAAGGAAAATGGCGTTTCGTTTTGTTTTGTTGTGTTTGTTTGTGTTTAACGCCGGCTATATGACGGTTGTCTGTGAATAATGGAGTCTGGACCAGACCATCCAGTAACTGACGTCATAAGCATCGATCTATGCAATTGGGATAGAATGACAGGCATCAAACATTATTTCTGCATATTTTCATTCAACGGAAAAGCAACGGAAATCCACTAAATCTGGCCAATATGCTCCACACTGAAGCGCATATTGCGGATGTGTCGTCTCCTTGAGCAAGCGATTTTGATTGAAATATGTCTTGCGTTTAGGGTGGATGGTTACCGGTAGAATGAACTGTGACTAATCTTAACTTGTAACACCTCAGTTTTGTTTAATGCTACACCGAAAGCATAGAATGAACATCGCACGCGCACTGATCCTTTGTTTGGGGTAAACATTGTGTTAATAGCGCTTTGAACAGACTTCAAAGGATGCACAATAGCAAATAACAGAATTCTCCATGTAATAGTAGGTATTCTTTGGTGACATATTCGTATTCGAGGAATCTGTTGTTTCTCTTTCAGATGCATTCTCTAGGTACTGACGAAGCCACCGTTATGTCGTGATACAGCACTTGTGTGTGTCTGTGGTCAGATGTAAATACCTTGTGAATCATGTAAACGCCACGTCGCTAATGCCCCAAAGGCAATTCTACTTCAGGAGATCAATGTTTCAGAGCCATACATGGTTATGGTGCATGTTTTAAACTTCCTAAAATGGAGATCACGATTTCGTTGTCTCAGGAAACAACTGTCTGTCACGGGATATTTGTCACTTTATCTGCTTATATTTGTATGCAGAAAACAATTTTAATAATCTCTTTAGATTTCCTTTATGGTGTTATGATAATAAATGTTATAGCAAGCAGTCAACACAGACAACAACGTTGAAGGTTATCAAAATGACAGCATTACACATATCCAGTACAAATGAGAATACGAGGACAAATCTAAAACGACTTTTGTCACAAATATTTGGACACGCCGAGAGTTTTCCTCCTCAGGTGGAAAGTTTGATCATTGGTTGTAAAACTTCAATGAATTCTTCTTCTGGAGATGATCGACTCCAATATTCATTGGGCCTGAGAGATTTCTTCAGTTTCTGAAATGTGTCGATGATGGAAAATATTTTGATCAAATAATCCTTTACTTAATAGTAACAAAGGCACGATCCTTATATTATTAAAACGATGACAATCCATTATGCAGTCATAGTGTTCTTGAATCACTATGCTATCAAATAGTGATGATACAAACTACAATATAGTTAACATAATGTTGTGTACTTTTGACATTACTACAATATTCTGTGCGTTCACCAAGGCAGTTGCAGTGTGTTTATTATATTTAAAGGTCCTATATCTCACATATTGTTATCTGTCAATACTGTTTTTGTGTCAGCTGCTGACATACGCACCTCATAGTATACACCAACTGAATTATCATTTCAAGCAGTGTACTTGAGCTATGTTCATTCGAGCGTTTGAGTTGAGTTTACCTCTTTCATGGTTGCCCCTGGAGTGTTGTAAACCGTCCATATGAAAACAATCGGAAACGGCAGGAGTGATGAAAAGGATATGAGCCACCCAACAGCTGTTGCCCAGGTGGGGTAGATGTAGTCCCCGTACTTTGGGGGTCGGTAGGAGTAGAAGGAGTAGCAGCAGATCACCTGGTACAACAGTTGGAGTGTAACACAAACACACAGTCAACCTATGATTTTCAACCCTGGAAGATCCGGGTTAGATCGGATACATGTATAGAATTCCATACTGAATAAAACATGAAGTCAAATATACACATTCATAAACGAATAACTATTAGTTTATATAACCGAATGTTGAATTGCTAATTTGACGCATATCCTGTAGGAAGTATAGGAGGCTGCCTTAGAAACACGGCCGCCAGCAACGAAAGTCAGTAATAAAATATCATGTTCCTGCCACCACCAGGTTTGAAATGCACCCCGTCCAACCTAAACAAGAACCCATCTCCTTTTTGCCAATAATACATTAGCATACCTTATTCACTTAGAAAACTAACGGGTAAGAATTTGTCTTTAGCAACCAATGCTTATCGTAAAGGGCGACTAACGGGATCGGGTGGTCAGGCTCGCTGACTTGGTTGGCATATGTCATCGTATCCGAATTGCGTAGATCGATGCTCATGGTGTTGATCACTGGATTGTCTGGTCCAGGCCCGATTATTTACAGACCGACACCATGCAGCTGCAATATTGCTGAGTGTGGCGTTTAACAACAATCAGCCAACCATTCTTATGTCGTTTGAATTGCACGACACAAATGAGGTTAGCGTAGATATCATCACGTTAGTTGCTCCCCTTAAGCGTTGCATTTTCCCTGTGGTGTATCAGAAAACATACGGTAAATCGGGTCCAGCAAAGCTACGTGGGTCGTAAGAGGGTTGCATGGATCGGTACTCAGTGGTTCCATGTCATCATAAACAGTAGTTGGCATTATAGTGCTTTTTCTCCGCTTTACTAAAGAGCTCGCAATAATGTTTTCGTCACATATAGCTGATAAGAGAAAACATCTTGTCAGCAGAAATGTTTTATGGAGCCTGCTGTAACCATTTTCACTGACTATTCGATATGTGTTAACATGACAATATTGTATGGTGCCTAACAATTTCTTTAAGAAGCTTTAGAAGTCAGGAATTACTTACCACAAGAAATAGAGGACACACAAACTTGAAACTTATGACCATGACCTGAGGTATCGTCTTTCCCCACATCGTACAGATGTCCTCCTGAAACCTCTTTATTCCTTCAAGGGAAAGTCATCATGAATTACCATTCACATATCTGTTACAAACACAATATTAGCGTAATGAACACAAAGCCAGAGATAACATGTTCGCATATACCATGGGAAAAGGAACACTTTTGTATGAACAGACAACTTACAATAAAGATGTCTGACATATCAATCACAAGAAGATGTCTATCCATAAAAAGATGTACACTGAAACCATAGGCGGATCCAGAGGGGGTGGGGTTGGGGGGTGGGGGTGGAATGTGTGCAGGGGTGCGCACCCACCCTTTTGTGCTGAAAGTTTGGTAAATGACCATGGAAACTCGGGTGAAAATGAAGTGTGCACCCCTCCTTTTCTCAATAGTGTGCACACACACACACACACACACACACACACACACACACACACACACACACACACACACACTTGCTCAAAAAGCTGTATCCGCCCCTGGAAACGTTGCATCTATTACAATAAAGAAGTTGCTTATCCTTAAAAAATGCTCCTCTTCATCATACCAGTTTCAAACTGCCACTTAAAGAAGGTACTTTATGGGGATTTGTACTGGATGTGGATTACAACAATCAATGCCTTGAGTTCCAAAACGCGTCATGGTAGACATGGGATACATTTCCAAAGTTGACATACCAATCAGAACAACGATGTCCGATGCAGTTCCTGATTTTGACATTTACCAAGTGTTCCCATGTATTTCAGGTGGACGAACTACTCCCCTTTGTATGTGTTTGCTACTGAGGTCACAAGTGGGACCGAACATGTTCATTGTACCTCACACCTAATATCATCACCGTTTGAATTATGAATGTGTCGCATCACATGTGTATGATAATGTCGTAATAGTAGAGTAGATTCTCATTTAGAAAATATATCTCCTGACTATCCAACGGTACTGTCGCTTTTCTACTTGATAGGTGTCTGAAGTTTGAATAATAGCCCAAATTAAATGCTACTGGGTATTTTTAAAAGTACGCTTGTGGCTGTAGCATGTATACACTAAACGCCAAAAGATACGTTTCCCTCCTACCTTTATGAATTACCTACTATTAAAAACGCTCAAATGCATTCATATTTAGGTGAAATGCATCTTTTTCAGAAGAGGTATATTGTCGTATTTTCGACCATGCCGAAATAAACCAATGACAGTGATTTAGATGTCCAAAAGAAAGGTTGAAATAAACACAGGACCTAAAACCGGATAGTACACCATTGAAATAAACGTAAATACATTACGAAATACATGCTATGACCAGATTTACGTATGTTTCCAGATATTTCCTAACTTCAGGCATATATTTCATAATGAATGAATGAATGAATCTCTTTATTTCCTCCAGATTATATTCCGAAGATCATTATAAACATGCACATGAAATATTTACAGCAACATAATCACAGCAATATATTCACAACACATTCATATAGTCATATGTATGTACAAAGAAAAGATGAAAGGTCTAGAATGCACAGTTTAGTGAGGGGAGCAAGGAATATAGGTATTTACAGAAGAGGACAATCATACATCTCCATGACATTTCATCAATATCGTTCGTAACTAGTAGTTCACCCCCAGAAAATAGTGATAACATTTCATCTTCAGATAATAATTCTATTTGTAGATAAACATCCACATCAAAGAGATCTATAAGTTTTGAAAAGAAATTATTTCTGTTATACATATAGTGTTCACAGTGTAAAATTATATGGCAGTCATAATCATTACAATATCTTTTGCAGAGTTCACAATGTTTTGAGAATTTTCCCCTTGAGCTGATTTGTACACAAAACTGTAATATATCTTTAAACTGTGGGTAAAAATACATCAAACAAGACAATCTATGTACACCAAAGAAATTGTGGGTCAAGCGATATCTATTCATATCGTGCCTTACACACGCGTGAGAAATCCGTCGTTCAGTTTCAGATTTATTTATGCAATTAATAGTTATTCTTCGCCATGACGATTTACATGGAAACCTTCCAAAATCGAGATAGTCACTAAGATAATTGAAGAGATTGTATTTTAAACTGGTTTGAATAAGTGTGTCACATATACTGTGTAAGACAGCTGTTCTGTTTTGAAAGGTGGCTAAATGTACACAAAAAATATCCTTAAATGAGGAGTAACACTTGCTTTGCACAGCTTGCCGAGAAATAATAGTCTACATTTATCTATATAACCATCCATGCTCCACAATCCAAGGTTACCTAGCACTGAAGCAGAGGAAAAGCGCTTACCGAAACCCTGAATGCATCTGGCAAAATATCTCTGTGTACTTTCTACCAAGTCATAATCTTTACCTCGAAGAATGGGTAAAAGTTCACAACCGTAAAAGCTCGTTGGAAGTATCATTCTTTTCCATATTTTAACAGAAGAAGTAGGGTGGAGATCTTTACCATTTAAACCAAGACTTTTTAGAGAATTTACAGATTGTTCTATGTTTACTCGGGTTGGAAGCATGTAAATGTACTTAGGTGGGGAAACACATGTAAATTTTCAAATTTGCAAATGTTTACACACCTTACATATTTATGTATCATACCAGATTTCAGGGGTAGGTATATGAACGGTTCATCCACCTTCATGTTACCTGTACTCAAGCAAGATGATCATGTTTCCCTCATGTGAATTACTTGGTTCATGTAATTTCATTTTCACACATTTTAGTGCGTTTGAAATCAACGTTAATCTTATCACCAAAAGAGCCTGACAAAGAAAGCAGTATTACGCAAGCTAAAGTGCCTTATTAAGCTGCACTCGCTCTTGCTAGCAGTATCAGTTGAGCCTTGTCTGCGGTGTTGGCAAATATTGTGAGGTGCTTGTTTCGAGGGATTAACAGGTTCAATGGTGAACAAAGGGCGATGAGCTATCCCTTTGTCGTCGAATGTGTCCCTAGCTATCCCTGTAGCATACCACTTTATCTATCTTGTAGACTAATGTTTAGTCCCTGAATATATATAATTTTGATAGAAACAAATAAACCCATTTAAATTGAAAAGGAGCACCAGGGAGACCAGAGATTACGGAACCTGAGGAAGTCTAGACTTGCTTCGTTCAGGGCTTTAGCTTTGCAGAGAGGGAGAGGCAGTAGGTAAAATAATGTGGTTCAGGGACTGTGAGACAGACTATCTCTCTTGGAGCACAGCCAAATAAGCTACACGAACCAACTCGGAATTTTTGAAGTCTGTTCAGCTCGCGCATCACTACTGTAATGTATCTTTTGGCAGTACATAATTGGAATATTATTACACTGCATGTGACCTTTTCTAATAGTCTCACATTGCCTGAACCATACTATTTCTCCTCCGCTCAGCTTTTGCTGTAATAACGCCATACATGAACTTTAAAGTTGTCCACATTTGTTTCACTAATATAAAAGCATACGATAACAAACAATGCGATATCAAATTATATATTCTGGGAGCCATGAAATGAAAAATAGTTTTTATCGTGTGGAGATTATGACCTGGACCCGGTTGTATCAACACGTAATTATGTAATCATCAATTAAACACTAATCATTGATTAAATACTTAATGTTTGATTAGTTAATGAAGTGTTTAAATACGGTTGTATAAACCCTTATTTAAACACCCATTAACTAAGTATGCCTCTAATAAAGGTCCCGTCATTAAACCATGATTAACTTAGGGGGAATCCCCTAATTATTATCCATGATGCATTGCATGTAAACACTCATCGATCGTCTGCATCATGGCTGCCTTCAGAAATCGCAGCAAAAACTTTGAAAGTTGTGAAATACAACTTCTAGCAGATCTAGTTGAAGATTATATCGGTGTGCTAAACCGCAAACTTACCAACTCCATAATCAATGACAAAAAGAAGCAGATATGGGACAAAATAACGGCCGAGATCAATAGCCTTGGGGTAAGCAATAGGACGTCCAAAGAAATCAAGACAAAATGGAATAATATGTTTCAAAATGCAAAAAAAGAGTTTTCAGGTAGAAAAATTCAAACGAAAAAAACAGGTGGCGGTCCATGTCCCAAGCCTGTTTTCTCTTCCATCGAGAAAATCATGGATATTTATTCGGATTCCGCATGTTTCAACGGTGTGGCCGGAGTGGAATCTCCTGTTCCCTTGCAAGGTAAATAGTTCTACAAACTGATAATAAAGATCATTCATTTTAATTTTGATTGATGTTAGTATAGATTATGTATGTCGATGCAAGTATTAAAACAAAATAGCAAGTAGACGAAGACATAGGCTAGCTTGCGACTTCAAAACATAATGTCGAAATTGCGGACAGTTTCATTTCATTTTCTTACCTTCTGTACAAGGCAGTTGAACTTTATTCAATCACATTTCACCCGCTGTACATAACGTGCGTCCTCTTTCAACGAATATCCAAATCAATGTGAAGGCCGTTCACTCTTTTCTCACAAGAGTGAAGTCCCCCTGTTACTATTTTGTACATGGAACCCATCCCGTTACACTTTGCATACGCTTCCTATTATGTTTCTCACAATGCAAATATTTAAGAAGCGACAATATTAAAAAGGTTGTGCAAAAATATAGCAAAGTTAGTAACAGACAGAAGCATTTGACGCTGCTGTTATTATTAATTATGCTTTAAAATTTAGAATATTTCAGGGAATTATCATCGAAAACTCGTAATGTAATTACATCAAATAAAAAGCGCTTGAGGAAATACAGGCCTGTGTCAACAGTATTAGTAATGTGATGTTATTTCCAGAGACTTATACGGTATGTTAATTTCGTGTAGCATAAATATTTCCCATGAATTTAATTTTCGTTGGGTCCTAATTAAAGTGAGCACAGTAATCATCTCAGCTACACCCACATAATTTCGACAGAATTTTCCGATTCCACCAGAATTAATTAAATAAAAATTGTGTTTTCTACACTTAATTCACATGTAAGTCCATTGAAATTAAGTTAAGTGGCAAAATTTTTTGGCTCTGGTCCGTATTTGCATTTGTCATTTTTATTTTATTTTCAATGACTTTGTGGAAGGGTGGCATATTTTATATCTAGTTTAAAAAAACACACCAAAAATCCTATCTATTTTCAGAAGCTCAAAGTGTAGAGATCCAT